AAATATAAATCTGCACCAAATACAGAGTAGTTCCCTTCACTTGGCAGAATCCTCTTGACTTGGTTGTTGGAAAGAATCCCTTTCAGTCACCATGACAGGAATGATCATAAGTGCAATGAGAAATCCCCTCCACACCTCCACACCTAAGTTCTCTCAAGGCAACCAGGAACTGGCATCAGCATCATCTGGAGTCCACAGCAGGTGACCCACCTCGATAAGCAGATGGATATAGGCCATGGAGTGTGAGCCACAGTGTCTGCAATCCCAACCTGGACCCAAATCCAAAGGTATGCCAGGTATCTGGACACTGTGCTTGTCAAAGGGACTGCACCACCAAAGGACTGTCTGCCTGGTCAACACGACTGAGGGAGGACGCTGGGCTTTCCCCCCAAAAAATCCTGATCGGTTATTTACAGCTTTCCTTATAGCGTTCGTCAGGAGACTCTCTTTAAACACAACAATGCATTTATTCTCACAGAGTCAAAAAATGCCTTAGAAGTATTATCCTTGTTTTAGAGGCACAGAACAGGTCCGTATTTGCAAACACATCCATACAACCTGAGGCAGCCCGGGGCTGGCTCCCCAGTGATGCTGTGCAGCAGTGGGATGTGCAGGGCACCAGCGGTAACTCTGCAGAGCCAGGGCTAATCACCACATCCCTGCTCTGGCCCTGCTCACCCCATGTCCTGAAGGAGGATGATTTATTTGCTTCAGAAGGAATTTGGGAATTCAGCCTATATATTCAACTTGCACATAAATCACAGATGTTATCTAAATGGGGTGGCAAACGCAGACCCGGGGAACACGCATAATTCAGTCACATTGCCTTGAAAAGGCACCGAGAAGACTCGATTTGAGAAATTCTAAAAGCTAACATTCTTTGATGTGCTTTGCAGTCCTGAGGGAGCAGCGAGAGCCGGGTGCCCATGCCCGCAGGCCCGGGGGGGCAGGGTGCGCAGGGCGGCAGCGGGGCCCCGGGGATTCCCGGCTGTGCCAGCCCAGCTCGGGAAGAAGCGCGGCTGTCCCCGAGCAGCGCGCTGCCCGCCGGGGAGCCGCGGGACACAGCCCGGGCTGCCGCAAAGGGCGCCTGGCCCCCAGCGCACCCACCCCTCGGGGAACCGCGCTCCACATCGCTTCCTAGGGGGAGAAAAAACCGCAGGGGCTTTGCCTAGGAAGACTCCCTTCGAACCTCCGAACCGGCCTGGCGGGCGGGAGAAGGGGGTGTTTGCCGCTGCTCGCCCGTTTCTCCCGGCCGCGCTCCTGGACGCGCTTTCGGGCGGCTCTTCACGGCGGAGCCCGCTTGGCTCCGCAGCCCGGCGGCTTTAAACAAAAGGCTTGGTCTGCTGGTTCGTTGGTTGGTTTTTATTCTTGTTTTTTGTTTTGTTTTGTTTTGTTTTTTTTCCTTTTCAGAAAACAACTGCAAGCCCCTTTTGCGAGAATATTTTCTTTCCGCCTCCCTCCCGCCGTTCCCCACGACCACTATGCGCTCCCCCTGCTCCCCCTTGCATCTGACTGGCACGCGTCCAGGACGGAGGAATTTTTTTCCCCCGTCTTCTATTATTTATTTATTTATCTATTTAATTTTACTTTATTTCCACGGCACATTTCGGCTCCAGCTCCCCAAACTCTTTGATCTCCCCCGCTGTCTCCTTACCCGGAAGAAAACCCCGGCTCTCTCAGCTGGGAGCTCGGCGCACACGTGGGCGCCCTGGCGCGCCTCCATGCTCCTGCCAAATTTAGTCACACAAAGAGCTCGGGGAGGGGGGACCGGCGGGGGATGAAAGGGGCCGCCGGCGGGACATCAAAGGCGCCGCCGCCCCGCCCCACTGCCGCCCTTCCCTATATAGGGGGCGCCGGCGGCAGACCCGCTTCGCACGCGAGAGTGTCCTGTGTCCCCCCCGCCCCGCTTATTGAGCCCGGAAGGGTCGTCATTGGCACCCCGCTTCCCTCTCTCCCCGCTCAGCTCCCCTGAAGCTCCACGGGGCTCGTCCCGCTGCCCCGAGCGCTGGAGCTCAGCCCGCCCCGGGACCCGTTTGCCCTCTCCGCTCACCCCCCCGCCCTGAGCCCGGGCAAGCCGGGCTGACCGTCGGGGAGTGCTGAGTGCGGGTCCCTTCAACGCTGAAAATACAAAAATACCCAACAAACAAAAACTCCTCAACTCCCTCTTGAAACGCTAAAACCCACTCAAACGACCAAAAAAACCCCCAACAAAACCTGCCCAAAATTAAACAACAAAGCAAACAAACAAAAACAAAAGCACGGGAAAATACAAACTCGCGCTAAAAGCAAAAGAGGAAAAAAGAAGAAACACCTAAAGCGCAAAAATCACCCCTGGGAAAGTACCAAACGGCGCGGTAGCCGCTGCGGAGCCGGGTGCCGGGCGCGGCGGCGGGCGCGCTCCCGGTGGCCCGGGGAGGGCTGCGGGTCCCGCCGGGGGCGAGAGCGGGGCCACCGCGGGGCGTCCCCGTACCCCGGGCCTTGCCCTCCGCCTCCGGCCGTGCCCCAAAGACTGCGAGCAAAGCGACAGCTTTGTGTCGTCTCCAGTCAAATCTGACGTTGGAGTTGACGTTTCCTGAGTTTATCTTTTTGTCGTAAATCATTATGGTTTCCACACACATATTCCCCCGCCCCGGTCCCGCCGCCCCCACCCCGGCCCTTTTTTTGTCTTCAAAATCCTTCCACCAAAAAACCGATCCGGGAAACTCCAGCCCACGGAAAGGCACGGCGGAGGGGCGGGGGGAGGCTGCTTTTCCCGAGGGACACGGTAATGAAACAGAGGAGTGGCCGCGCTGCCGGCTCCTCCGGCGGGGTCCCTGCCTGCTCCCGGGCCGCGCCGCCCCGTCCCGTCGGGCGAGCTGTTTGCAATGCTCAGCCTCTCAGCGAAGGTCTTTTTTTCAGAACGGGACCGTCCCTGGGCAGCTTTGCCCAGCCCGGGTGTCCGGTGCCCGCCGAGCACCAGGAAAGGGAAGAGGGGCGGGAGGGATGTGGAGATGTACATCTCCGCTCAGGAACCATCCCCGAGTTGACAGTCGTTTTCCAATCAACCGCTTACCCATCGCCTCTCCGCAGCCGTCTCCGGGAGAGAGGGGGTGTCCCTGCATCTGGGGAGCATTGCACAATTAAGCCCTTTCCCAGAAGTTACATTTCTAATTTCTTTCTTTCTCGATCATTTATTTCACGCACTTGTTCGACTTGGGAAGTCCATCCCCCGTTTCCCGCTACCTTACTCCTTTTCTCGGGGTTTGGAGGGTCTAATTTCTCAGCTGGATTTTAATTCCCGTTCGAGGACGATTACGCAGAGCCGCGGGCGGCGGCGTGGGCAGCCGGGCTCAGCCCGCCCGTGTCCCGGCCGGCAGTGCCGCCGTGCCGAACCCAGCATCTTGCCGAAAACGGATTGAGCATCCACATGTTCCCGTTCCTCCGGCTCCCGGCGCTTGAAGGTTTAGCAACCTGACGGGGCATGTGCAAAGCACAAAGCGCACTTTTTCGATGCCAAAATACTGGGAAGTTGTTTCCTGCAAAATGTGCGCCCATCGTGTTCGCAAAATAAAAGTTGCGGATCCTGACGTTCCCCAAGCGCAGCGCCTGCTTTTGTCCGGATGATTTTTTTTTTTTTACTGCACCCGTGCCCTGCTGCAGGGCGAAGCCGGATCAGCCGGGAGCTAACGGGGCAGCGCGGTGCAGGAGGAACGGGACAGGGTGGAGGGGTGAATCTCCGTTACTGCTCTGGCTCAATTTACCGGTCCGAAACTGGGACGCGCTCACCCCGGCGGGTTTCTCCCCGTCTCTCGGGGGTTACTACTCGTTTCTGCCGGGCACTTGCTGGATTCAATTGGGATGTCTTAATTCTGCCCTTCTTCTGATGCGGGCGCGGGCAGAGCCTGGTCAACCCATCGCACACTTCCCATACCGGAGCAGCGCCATGCGGCGATGGGGAACGCTCAACATAGCGGCCCTAAAAAAGCAGGTCTGCCCTTCCCGGGGATGCAGCTAGTGCCCGTGCCCTCCTCGGCGGGCTCTTGGCTGGGAAGGGAGAGGAGCGGCAGTGCCCCGGCGCACCCCTCGCGACACGGACACGCACACCCAAACGTACACGTGTGCGTGTAGGTACACACACGGACACACAGAGAGGCTACTCTGCGTAGCCAGAGCAAAGTTTGCCCAGGGGCAGCCCCGCACCCGCTCCCTCCCGCCCCCTCCTCCCTCCTCGCTGGCGCTGGCCCCCTCCTCTCCCCGCCCTCGCCGCTCGGCCCTCCCGGCCCGGACACGGTATCAGTCACGGCGGCGGTCCCTTTCATCTCCGCCGCCCCCGCCCCGCCCCGCCCCGACGGCGGAGGGAGGGAGGGCGGGAGCGATGCTGAAGTTGCCCCACCGCCGCCCCCCGCGGGGCGCCGCGCCCGCCGGCTGCGGCAGGAGGCCCCGCGCCGGGCGCTGAGCGCGGAGGCGGCCGGGGGCGCCGTGCCGGCAACTTTTTCCCCTGCCCGCGGGCGCGGAGGGAAGCGGGGCGGGGGGGGTCACCTCCCCGCCCGCTCCATCCCTCCCCTCCTGCTCTCCCTCCCTCCCGGGGCTGTTTCTTCCTCGGCCCCCCGCCCCCCGCCCGTCGCGGTGCCGCCGAGCCGAGCCGAGCCGTGCCCGGAGCCGCGAACGAAGCGGCGGACAAAGGCCCGGTGGGTGCGCGGCACGGGCAGCGCCGGCCCCTTCCCCCGGGACGCCCCCTCCCCCTGCCCGTCTACCCCCAGCCATTTTAACTCGGTCCCGCCGGGGTGGTGGCAACTTCACTCGGAGGCGAAACGCGGGCGGGCTCCGCTCCCCTCCCCTCCGCGTCTCCTCGCCCCCGGGGTGAGCCCGGGTCCCGGGGGGATGGAGGGGGGTCTGGTCTCCTGGGGGGCGGTCCCTGGCGCGGTCGGGACACGGGCGGGCGTATTTCGACCTATTCCGGCCGTGCGGCGCGTCGGGGCGAGGGTCCGCGGGACGTCGGTGTCGTGCGGAAGACGGGGTACCTCTGCCCCGAGGGGGCGGGCGGACAGGCGGGGGTCTCCGGCTGCCGAGAACAACCCCGAGGAGTTCACGGGATTTTTCCTTCTTCTCTCCTCCTTCTCCTCCTCTCTCCTCCTCCTCCGCCCTCCTCCTCCTCCTCCCCCCGCTGCTCCGCCCGCTCCCCTTCCCGCGGCGGGCCGGCGGCCGCAGCAGACGCCGCGCTGCCGTGAGGATGCCGCAGCTGCCGGGGGCCGGGGGCGGCGGGGGGGATCCGGAGCTCTGCGCCACCGACGAGATGATCCCCTTCAAGGACGAGGGGGATCCCCAGAAAGAGAAGATCTTCGCCGAGATCAGCCACCCCGAGGAGGAGGGCGACCTGGCCGACATCAAGTCCTCCCTCGTCAACGAGTCCGAGATCGCCCCCGGCGCCAACGGGCACGAGGTGCGCGGCCGCGGGGGCTCCGCGGGCAGCGCGGGCGGAGGGGCGCGGGATGCCGGCGGGCTCCGGCCGCCGCCGCGGGGAGGGAGCTTCGGCGGGGCACCGGGGAAAAATTTCCCATAGGAAAAGAAATCATTCCACCCCAAATCCTGTCTCCAGAGGTGCGCCGGGCAGAGCCCTTTCCGCGCCTCGGCCCGGGACGAGAAAGTTGCCGCGAGTTCCCCGACGGTGCGGTGGTATTAGACCTCCAGCAGGCATGAAATTTCCTCAGTAAAATCTGCGGGGTCGGAGCGTTAGCTGTAAACTCTTTAAGGGATTTGCATAAAACTGTTTGGGAAGAAATTCCCGACTCTAAAATAACTTCAGGGCGAGCGGGGAACCTGCCTTTTAAAAATTTTTGTTTAATTTTCTTTTATTTTTAATATATATTTTTTTTTTTTCCCTAAAGATCTGCTAAGGAGGGCAACCTGATTTTCATTATTATTTTTGGTATCTTTTTACCAAGAGCGTTTTGACCGCCAGAGCGCCAAATGTTTACCAGAAATTAACCACTTTCATTAAATGCAGGGTGCTTTTGCTGGAAATGCTTTGCAAAGCCCTGTAGTTATTCACGTTGTCATAAAACAATAGTTTACGCAAACATTTCAGGTACAATTGCCTTCCAAGCAAGTTAAGAGGAAAAAGAAAGATGTTAATCTTGTGCTCCAAAATCCTCTCTTCCTTCAAGAAATTGTAGCAGTGTGTTTGATAAACGAGCATCCATACAATGACTTTTCTTCTTTTTCTTCTTCTCTGGTGGTGGATTCCTTGTGGTCAGGTTTCCAGGCAGACTCAAGCACAGGATTCCTACCATGATAAAGGCAGAGAACACCCCGAGGAAGGTGAGACTCGCACAGTCCCGTCTTGTGATGTTGTCCCTCTGTGACCCACCACACAGTCCTCAAACTGCAACTTGGTTTCTTTTGGAAATCATAAATTTAATATCTTTTGTGGGAGAGGGATGCCAGAGCGCTTTTAGAGCGCATTTAAAAAGGAGATGAACGTGCAGCGTGTTTATCTTGAGTGACCAAATGGTATTCCAGTTGTTTAGAAACTGATAAGTAGGCCAAATGGATCTTCACTGAAGAAGTAACTATTTTTAGGATATTACCTTAAATACATCTATGTCTTCACTCATACAGTGTACAGTTGTGTTCAGAAACCCTCTGCTTTTCCCCATAGCCAAAGTCTGTCACTTAAATCTATTTTTCAAATCTAAGTATGAGCAGATCTCCTGCATTTTTTAATGTATCAAATGGTTAATTTTGATTGAGGATGACAGAGGAACTAGCAGAGTTCATCAGATATCATTTAGGAAGCTGGACACGCATGCAAAGAATGTGTGCTGTGAAGGGTGGGAGATTATGTTTAAAATCAAATGCTTATCATCACAACCTAAACCAAATTATAAATTCCATATAAAGACAGAGTTCAGTCCTGGTGCTTTCCAGGACTCTGGCCATCTTCCTCCAAATTTGTAATTAAGCAACCTAAAAGCAATGAAGTCCATGCTTGTAGCATTTGGCAGTGAGGGGGAGGTGTTCAACTCTGGATAGTTTTCAGCTCTGCATCTTCTTAAAACATTACTGTCAAGTAGTAGCCGTGTCAGTGGGCATGTAGGTGGGAGACTTGTTCATCCTCTTTGCAGGACCTGGACCCAAACACTTTTTTTTCCTACCAAATAGCCTCCCTTATTGGGCTTCCCTCTTGACTGTAGTACCATGTGTACTTAACAGCCTCCCTCCCAAATTGTTAGGATCTCCTTCCAAGCCACCCCCTGCCCTTTAATTGTTCCAAATGAGCATAGTCAGAATGAATTATTTGCTGCACACACAGTCTCAGCGAGTGAAGGAAATGATTGTATCTAGTTACCACAGTCTTGTCCTCCCTTTCCTAACAATGATGTTGGAAACCCATACTGGCTATACTTCTGAATTGACAGATCCTAGAAGCATATATAAAATTGGGGAAAACTACTACTTGAGAAATGTGATGTCGTTGCTGATGTGTCTACTTTGATTTCAATGAGTATTAGCAAAATTATTTATTTTGAGGCTATTCTGTATTTTAAATGTAAACTCACCAAGAATACTCACTTTTTTAAGAATTTGCTCTTCCTAAAAAAAAAATGTTTTACAAATTGGTTTGTATCATTTTCTGTCAGCAGTAATTTCCATGAGTAAGGAAACATTTGCATGCAGAACATTTTTATATATGCGCAGTACCTGTCTGAGTGCTCTAACTCATGAGAAATGCATATGTGGGGAATAATGTAATCATTGTTTCATCTTCCATAGGAAAGCATCCAGACAATGGCTTATACAGCAAGGGACCATCATACTCTGGTTATTCTGGGTATATCATGATGCCAAATATGAATAACGACCCATACATGCCTAATGGATCTCTGTCGCCACCCATCCCCAGAACAGTGAGTTATCTCTTCAAAGGCTGGTTTTGGCAAGCTGGGTTTCCTCCTGTTTGGTCTGCAGAGCCTGTTTACAACGGGGTCTTTTGGGTAGCTTCAGTGACAATGAAGGTTGAGCTTCTGCTGTTCAGAGCCTCTGTCCTGTGGAGTTTGAGAGCTCTTAGAGGTGCTGGTTGTGATCACAGTGGAATAGCTGAAATAAATGTCTGTGAACAGGGCTGGGGGCTTTGTGGGGGGAGATCTGGTTTACTGCTGTAGGATAATGTATGGCAGAATGATGTAGATGCTGTCTTTGTAGTGACTGGGACAGATGTGAATTTTCTGGTTTTAACTCTTTGTTTGTTGAGGAAAATCAAGGGCTAGAAGCAGAACTGCTAAAGTTACATGACAGTAAGATGAGAAGATTGGATTTTTTTTTTTTTTTTGCTTCAGATGTGGCATCGCTCTTTGCTGACTGATATTTATTTTCACTATCAGTTGGTCTGCGTGAAGGCTTTATCTGTCTGGCAGCCTTGCTTTGAAACATACTTTGTATCTTCAGCCAGAAATTGTGAAATGTCCATTTAGGAATTAATATCAACCATGATGCAGTAGTTAAGGCCTTCCCTTACATTGTGGTGAGCACTGATTCTTCCAGGTTGGTCCCTCTGTTTCCATTGGTGTAGATTCATGTTTAATGGATTTTAGTGTACTTTTAATTCTGGATATTCAATTCCCGTTTATTTTTGTAAGCCTCTTGGTATACATATAGAGCAATGGAGAGGCATTGTTAAAAGGAGCTGTGGAAATTATATTAGTAGAACCTGAGTGGAGCGGGAAACAATTTGCTTGTAGGCATCGTGCTGGAAAAATGCCTCTGCCGTTGTGCGTGCTGTGAGAGGAGGAGTTGGATGCTGTTACTTCCCTGTCATAAAGCAGTTTTCCCTCTTACTGGCTCTTAGATTTTTTTTCTTGGAGGTCTCTGTCATAGCATTGTTTTGCTCTCTGATGTTCTTGGTTTTTATTCAGGACTGTGGCATTTGACTTCCAAAACAAAAAGAAGGGGGCCTGATCTGTACTGGTAATTTGACAGCAGCGAAGCATGTTAAATTAGTGTATATTTGGTGTCGGAATGACAGGGTGCTTTGGCACTGTGAAACACATGGATCTGCATTTGAAAGATGCAAAAATTCATGCAATAATATTGTTTTCTATAGCTGTGTATTGTGTATAAATTCCAGTTCAGAGGCCCACAGCCATTTTGGGTGAAGCATGATTATCACAGTCTGTTGATATTTGTTGTTGTAAACGTTGTTCTACATAAAACTTCCTTTTGGATGTATCATAGGGAAAAGCATGCAGCTTTTCAAGAGGGCATGGAGACTCAAACCTGCCCTTTGGAGGACTAGGAAACTTCAGACTTTTTTTTTTTTACCCCTCTTTGCATTGTTACCTTCCTAAGAAAGTCCTGAATGCTGGTGCATGGCTTAGAACAACAAAATCCAATTTAATTATTCACTGAGGATTTTCTCCATATATGCTTGCCGTGGGGCTGGCACTTATTACAGATCTGGCATCAATGCCTATAGAATATCATCTTGCAGAGGCTCTTGAGGAACTGCCCTTTGCGGGTGTGGTGGCAGGGAGGAACGGGGGAAAACGCGTTTTGTTTTTAATTGTAAAGCTGCCTGCCGAACATCTGAGGGGCTAATTTAGTTCAGTGCTGCTCTTGCATGTTACAGCAGCACCACTATTTCAATAAAACAGTGCTGTTGCAGGGCTGCAGTGTTGACATAAGCCCGGAGTTCTTTCAGTTTAACCACAAGCCTACACGCTTGAGTTATTAAATAATTTTTTGTTTAATTGAACTGTAATCTTCGCTAGGCTCGTTGCTGACAGTTGGGTTTTAATGCGCGCGAGATCAAAACGCGGCATCCAGGAGGGGACACGCTCGCTCCCCGCTCCCCGCGGCTTTCCGCGCTCTGGCCGCGCCGCGCTCCCCTCCGGGGGTCCCAGCCGCTGCCCTCCGGCTCTGCTCTGCCTCCCCTTTCCAGGGCTGGGGGCAAGGAGCGGCTGAGATCCGCAAGCACTGGCGGCAGAAGTCTCCTGGGGTGTCGGTAGTCCCCAGCCATTTGTGCCTGGTGTGTACCTGCGCCCTGCTATTTGCATGACAAAGACGCTTCTTGTTGATGCATCTGTTGCCTGGAGGTGTTAGCCGGGATTAAAAAGGCGCCCTGGGGCGCTGAATCTTT